TATAATTGTTGCAGAGACATACCATAATTTATTTAAACAGCTCCTTATTGATATTGATATTGATTTATTTTTTTGGGTACCAGGGATTGAACCTAGGGCATTTAAGCTCTGAGCCACATCCCTAGCCCTTTATTTATTTTTATGTGGTGCTGAGGATCAAACCCAGTGCCTCACAGGTGCCAGGCAAGCACTCTACTGCTGAGCCACAACCCCAGTCCCACATCCCTAGCCCTTTTTATTTTTTATTTTGAGACAGGGTCTATTAAATTGTTTTATGCCTCGATAAGGTGCTGAGGCTGGCTTTGAACTTGCAATCCTCCTGCCTCAGCCTCCTGAGCCACTGGGATTACAGGCATGCACCACCATGCCCAGCTCCCCTACTGTTGGGCTTTTAGGATTGTTCTAATAATTTGCCATTATAAACAATTGAATGGGGTGCAGGAGGGCATATGGGCAGTGAGTATATAGGATACATTTTTAAAAGTGGAAGTCATAAAGTGTATGTACTTAAAAATGTAAGAACTATTTCCAAATTGCCTATCCTATCTTTATTTCCAGCAGTATGAGCAAATATCTATTTACTCACATTTTCACCAGTGAGGTATATTGCCAAATATTTTACTATGACCACTTTGATAGATAAAACAAAACAAAACAGTGTCTCATAGTTTTAATATATGTTTGGCTTGACAGTGAGGTTGAGCATGGATTCATATATTTAGGAAACATCAAAACATCAATTTATTTTTTATTTTTTAGTATTGGGGATTGAATCCAGAGGCACTTAACCACTAAACCACATCCCCAGCCCTTTTTTTATATTTTATTTAGAGTCAAGGTCTTGCTGGGTTGCTTAGGGACTTACTAAGTTGCTGAGGCTGGCTTTGAACTCACAATCCTCCTGCCTCAGCCTCCCAAGCTGCTGGGCCACTGCACCTGGCATAACATCAATTTATGATATATTTATGATAGCAGTTCTTGAGTTGCACAAGTATTTTTGTGTGTGTGGTAATGAGGACTGAATCCAGGGGTAGTCTACCACTAAGCCACACCCTAAGTCCTTTTTATTTTTAATTTTGAGACAAGGTTTTGCCAAGTTGCCCAGGCTGGCCTCTAACTTGCCATCCTCCTTTCTGAGCCTTGTAAGTCACTGGGGTGTGTGCCACTATACCTGACTCAATCCCACTCATTTTAATAAAGTTATAACTAACCTCTTTTTTTTTTTTTTATGGTGCTGGGAATTGAACTCGCGGTCAAACTTCTTATACATGCTAAACACATGCTCTACCACTGAGCCACACTCTAGTCTTTTCTTTAAATAAAATTTCTTTTTTTTTTTTAAAATATTTTATTTCCTAGTTTTTGGCAGACACAACATCTTTGTTTGTATGTGGTGCTGAGGATCGAACCCGGGCCACATGCATGCCAGGTGAGCGTGCTACCGCTTGAGCCACATCTCCAGCCCTAAAATTTCTTTTTGTACTGGGGATTGAACACTTAGTGGCACTTCACCACTGAGTTACACCCCCAGCTGTCTTTGTTGTTGTTGTTGTTTGTTTTGGTTTTTGAAACAGGATCTTTCTTGCTAAGTTGCTTAAGGCCTCACCAAATTGCTGAGGCTGGTCTTGAACTTGTGATCCTCCTGTCTCAGCCTCCTGAGTCACTGGAATTACAGGTGCGCACTCCTGACCTTGTCTCCAGCCTCTTCCTTTTATTTATTTATTTTTTAAAAGATTGTTATTTTGGAGCTGGGGATATAGCTCATTTGGTAGAGTGCTTGCCTTGCATGCATAAGGCCACCATGGGTTCAATCCCAAGCACCATAAAAAAAAAAAAGATTGTTATTATAAATAAATAAATAAATTATATATATATATATATATATATATATATATATATATATATACACACACACACACACACATACATATATATATATACATATATATGTATATATGTATATTTTAAGTTGTTGATAGATCTTTGTTTTATTTACTTACTTATATATGGTGCTGTGGTGTATGCCACTATACCTGACTAGAATCCAGTGCCTCACACATGCCAGTGAGCGCTCTACCACTGAGCTATAACTCCAGCACTTCCAACCTTTTGATGGATATTTGAATTACTGTTATTTTTCCTTCCTCCCTTTCTACCCTTCCTCCCTCCCTCTATTCCTCTTTCATCCTCTCCTTCCTCCCTCCCTTTCTTCCTTCCTTTCTTTTTTGTGGTGCTAAGAATTGAACTCAGAGTCTTGCACATGCTTGGCAAATGCTCCACCACTAAACAACACCCCTAGGCCTTTTTATTTTTTATTAAGTAATTAATTATTTTTTTATACTGGGGATTGAATCCAGGGGCACTTAACCACCGAACTACATTCCCAGCCCTTTTTATATTTCATTTTGAGACAGAATCTTGCTAAGTTGCTTAGGGTCTCACTAAGTTGCTGAGGCTGGCTTTGAACTTGCAATCCTCCTGCCTCAGCTTCCCGCCACTGGGATTACAGGTGTGTGCCACCACACCTGCTTTTTATTTTTATGTTTGAGACAAGGTCTTGGTTGCTCAGGCTGGTCTTGAACTTGTAATCATCCTGCTACAGCTTTCCAGATATTGGGATTATAGACGTGTACCACTATGCTTGGCCCAGTTTTTCTCTAACTCCAACCACTGCAGAGAACATTCTTTTATATCCAACTTTAAGTTCTTTGCCAAGTGTTTTATAAAATGTTTTCTCAGCGCTAGAATCCTGGTAGAGAGTATAAACAGTGTGGATGTTTAGGAATTTAAAAGAATGATTCTTCAGAAAGGTGCTGTCAGTTTATCAGTTTATAACACTTCCTTCTTTATAAAGAGTGCCTTTCCAACATCTTTCCTTTGTGGATACTATTTCTTGGGCTTTAATCTTTTTTGTTGTTGTTGTTTTTTGATGGTGTTGGGGATCCAACCCAGGGTCTTATGTATGCTAGGCAAGTGTTCTACCACTACACCCAGCTGTTTCTTAGGTCTTACAGGCTTTCACTACCAAGAGTACATATACATATTTCTGGCTGATTTTTTTCCCAGAAGCCAGGTTTATTTTTTTAATATTTATAAAATAACATTTATTATGCTGGGCACAGTGGCACATACCCATAATCCCAGTTACTGAGGACACTTAAGGAGGAGCATCACAAATTTGAGGCCACCCTGGGCAACCTAGTAAAACCCTGTCTCAAAACAAAACTTTCAAAGAAGAAAACAAATGATTGCACTATTTTCTCATCATCTTTGACATTAAAAAATCTTGAATATAATACTTTTAAATGGTTAAAAAATGTAAACTACAAGATACTCAATGAAAAACAGAAATCTTCTCTCTCCCAGTTTCTCTCCACAGTAAACACTGTCAAGATTTTTGTATAATTTCTTCTAGGAAAAAAATTCTGTATATATTGATGGAATATATACTTAGAGCCTCATGTCTAGCTTTAGCTAAAATTTATGGCCTTCCTTAATTTGTTAGAACATTTCTCCCAAACTCTGGTGTCTATAGATCTAGAGCTTTAAATTTCAGTTGGATAAAGATGAACTCTAGTTATACAATTTGACAAGTAAGTTATAGTCTTTTTGTACTGACTAGCAGGTAAACACTACTGGGAAATTTGTCACTTGGAGAAAAAACAGTCTTATTTAATTTAAGCATGGATCTGACCTTTAACATGATTAGATGTCAAATAATTTTTTTGTTTAGTTCCCTGAGTTTTAAATAGTTTGTATCTTAGCCAGGGCGAACACCTGTAGTTCCAGCAGCTCTGGAGGTTAAGGCAGAAGGATCCAGCCTCAGTAGCCTCAGCAACTTAGTGAGGCCCTAAGCAACTTAGTGAGACACTGTCTCAAAATAGAAAAAATATACAGGACTGGAGATGTGTCTCAGTGCTTAAGCTCCTTTGGGTTCAATCCCTGGTACAAAAAAAAAGTATATATAAATAAAAATAAATAAATAAATAAATAAATAAATCTATCTCCTATATATTCTCTATATACATATGTATTCTCTCTCTCTCTCTCTCTCTCTCTCTCTCTCTCTCTCTCTATATATATATATATATATATATATCTTATCAGTACATATAACTTGCAACATATTACCTAAATTAAACAAAGTACTTGTGGGTCTGAATGATTTGCTTCTACACTTTTACATTGCAGTGCTGGAGACTGAACCCAGGGCCTCATGCATGCTTTGCAGGTACTCTATCACTGAGCCACACTCTAGCCCCTGATTCCCTTTTTAAAGGGAGACCCATATTTCTTTTTTTTTTTTTTTTATTTTTTAGTTGTTGATGGACTTTTTTTTTTTTTTTGCTTATTTATATGTGGTGCTAGGAATCAAACTCAGTGCCTCACACATATGAGGCAAGCACTCTACTGCTGAGCTACAACTCCAGCCCCAAAGAGACCTATATTTCTGATTTCATATATTCTTTTCACAAGACAGAACTTGTATTAATGTTTTCCCAAGAACTCTGAGTATATGTTTCATTTAAATTGTAGGGAACATGTTTTGCCTATGCTGCTAACTTTGTATCTTTCATTTAATTCATCTTGAAGACCTTTCCATATTAAGACAAATGGGTTTATCTAATTTTTAAATTTTTTTTTAGTTGTTGATGGACCTTTATTTTTATTTATTCTTTTGTATGTGGTGCTGAGAATTGAACCCAGGGCCTTACACATGCTAGGCAAGTGCTCTACCACTGAGCTACAGCAGGAGCCCCAACAAATGGGTTTATTGAGGAAGATATTTTAAAACTTTGAGGTGCTTTTTATTGTTAATGAATTGTTCTTCACTTCTGCAGTTTACTTCTCTCTCCAATTTCTCTTGTCCCCTATATTTTCCATGTATTTGGAGGATTGAAGAATGGGGTGCCCTTATTAGGCTGATGGATGGGTCTGTGGCATTTCTTCTCCCTTCCACTTTTCCTACTGATGGCCGACATTTCTTATTTTCACTCCAGGGGAAGCCATATGTCTTTGACCGTGTGTTCCCCCCAAACACGACTCAGGAGCAAGTTTATCATGCATGTGCCATGCAGATTGTCAAAGGTAATGGATGTCTTTTTAGAATGTATTTTCTCAGGCTTCGCATTCCCTGCCTCACTTATCTCCACCTATATGTTTATCCACCATCTCTTCCAGATGTCCTTGCTGGCTACAATGGCACCATTTTTGCTTATGGACAGACATCCTCAGGGAAAACACATACTATGGAGGTGAGGGTTCTGACTTTGTTGGAATAAGGAGCTAGGAATGCAAGTGGCAGATCAAGGACTTTCAGTGGGGGAAGATTTAGGAATCAAAGGTTGCCTGGTTCAGATGCAGATGGGTACACAGGATGAGCTGAGAGGCAATGTTTTAAGGGAAGTTTAATGGAATCCTTTCAATCTGCTGCAGTTTAGCTCCTTCCTACTGCTCTAGTTGTCTTTTGATCTGCAAAAGTAGCAGCAGTGGAAGTCCAAAGGGCTGCTCAGTTATCTCCTTCCACTAAAAGGTAGACATGGTGGTAACCACCTCCTACCTTAGGATGCTCTTCCTATCACCTCTTACCTTTGTGTTCACTTGTATACCTCAAGTTGTCTCATCCTTCTCGAGTTTCAGTCTCATGCTGGAATATCCTCACTCCCCAGGGAAAGCTACATGACCCTCAGCTGATGGGAATCATTCCCCGGATTGCCCGAGACATCTTCAACCACATCTACTCCATGGATGAGAACCTTGAGTTCCACATCAAGGTGATTAGGGCATGACAGCTGGATATCTTCAGATGGGGACTGGGAGGAGAAAATCTAGAGTGAACCTGCTGAAGATCCTGGGCTCCCCAGTGTTACTCTCCCCCTCTGGTTACCTCCACTAAGATGTTTTTTTCTGTTCTTCCTACCCACCACTATCCTTTGAGCAGGTCACATTAGTTTGGAATTCCCACATTAGATTTAAGATAAGCCCTCTTCAATTGATACTCCTTTCTCCCAAACCAGGTCTCTTATTTTGAGATTTACCTGGATAAAATTCGTGACCTTCTGGATGGTAAGTGTTTAACTTCACTGGGTTAGAGTGTGTGAGGAGGGTGAAGAAAGGAAGATCAGCTTGCTGTGGGGATTGGTGCCATTTGGCATACAAAATACACATCTTCACACCTGAGTCCTTTAGCTTCACTCACCAAGAATTTCCAAAAACTTAGAGGCTCAGAAGATGAGCTTAGAGTTTACATATACATAGTTCAAGAGGAGATGGAACCCTGCAGCTGGAGCCCTGACAAGGAGGAGGGAGAGGAGGAGGAATTGAGCCTTCAGTGGGAACATGGAGTTTAGGCTTCATTGGGAAGCCCTCCTCCATTTAGCACATAGAAGAAACCATCATCCAAGTTGACTACAGGGTGCAGAGGGGTGGGTGGAAGTGCTGGTTTTACTCACTCTGCATTATCTTGATTCAGTGACCAAGACAAACCTTTCTGTGCATGAGGACAAGAACCGGGTCCCATTTGTCAAGGTGAGAGTGGGCGAGACACTGGTGTGGAGTCAGTGTATCCAGAATGGGATGAGGGAAGAGGGTGGGCCAATGACCCAGAAGTTAAAGGGGTAAGATATGCTAAGGGGCCTATGAGAGTCAGGGTGCTTGGAAACGATGACTTTTCTTTTCTTTTTTTTTTACATAATGTCCATTTGATTATTCTTTAAATCATACAATATCATATTAATGATTTGTTTCACAATTTTAAAAAATCCCACCCACTCCCCTTGCCCATCCATGCTCCATAAAGAGCATTCTGGTACTGCTCTGACTTCCACTGTAGCTTTGTTTCCAGTTAAGAAAGGAACATAGGGCCATTTGGCATATACATTTCTCTTCTGAGTACTAAACTGGTGTGCAAGTTTTATTTTTAACATACTAAAATAATAAATGCTTAGTTAGTAATTCTCTCTCATAAATGAATTTAAATTGGATTTAAAATAAATCCTTTGGCAACCAATACATCTTTAGCAAGTAAACAAATGATTTCTCAGAATCAAGACTTTTTTGATGCTTCAATACGATGACTTTTCTTTTGTCTCTGGGGATCAAACCCAGGGCCTTGTACATGTTAGACAAGTAGACAAGTACTCTACTGCTAAGCTACATCCCTAGCCCAAAAGACAGCATCTGTTTGAGGGATTTTTTTGCGGGGGGGTGGGGGTACCAGGGATTGAACTCAGGGGCACTTGACCACTGAGCCACATCCCCAGCCCTATTTTGTATTTTATTTAGAGACACAATCTCACTGAGATTCTTAGCACCTCTCTTTTGCTGCAGCAGGCTTTGAACTCATGATCCTCCTGCCTCAGCTTCCCAAGCTGAGGCATGTGCCAGTGCACCTGGAAAAAAGGCAGCATCTTAAAAGGTCACTTGGAAAGTGTTCAGGCAACTTAATTTGCAGATCAGAGTTTATAGTCACTGTCTATTTGCCCCCTGCAGGGTTGTACTGAACGCTTTGTGTCCAGCCCAGAGGAGATTTTGGATGTGATTGATGAGGGAAAATCAAATCGTCATGTCGCTGTCACCAGTGAGTAGGGATCTAAAGGGTTCTTGAATCTAAGGGCCTCCCTCTCTTCTGTATCCCCTGGGCAACAAGCAAGCAAGGGAGGACATTGTCCTTCAGCAGAGGGGCCCCTTGCCTGTGCATCCACTGCCTGGGAGATGAAATAGCAGGGTTGGTCCTGGCAGGTCCCTTCTCTTTCAATGGGTGGGAATGGCAGCCAGTAGCAGCTGGGACTGAGGGGTGCAGGTTCACAGGGGTTGATACCTGTCACATTTCTCCTCTACAGACATGAATGAACACAGCTCTCGAAGCCACAGCATCTTCCTCATCAACATCAAGCAGGAGAACATGGAGACTGAGCAGAAGCTCAGTGGGAAGTTGTATCTCGTGGACCTGGCTGGGAGTGAGAAGGTTAGGGGTCCTATGGGTTGGTGGAGAAGAAAGCCTTATGGGGAGGTTACTTGTTTTATAATTAAAAGATTTTTTTTTTTTTTTTTAAAGATTAGTGTAGTGGCACACGCCTGTAATCTCAGTGACTTGGGAGGCCAAGACAGGAGGATCACAAGTTCAAGGCCAGCTTCAGCAACTTAGCAAGGCCCTAAGCAATGCAGTGAGACTCTGTCTCAAAATAAAAAGTAAAAATAGACTGTGATGTGGCTCAGTGGTTAACAGGGCAACTTAGTGAGAACCTGCCTCAAAATAAAAAGGCCTAGGAATGTTGCTCAGTGGTTAAGTGCCCCTGGATTAACTCTCTAGTACCAAAAAACAAAACAAAACAAAAACCTTTAAAATTGAGATATTCAGGGGTGGGGTTGTGGCTCAGTGGTAGAGCACTGGCCTAGCACATGTGAGGCATTGGTTCAATCCTCAGCACCACAAAAAAAATAAATAAAATAAAGGTATTGTGTTCATCTACAACTAAATTTTTTTTAAAAATTGAGATATTCATAATCAGAAAGTTCACCATTTTAGAGTGTACAATTTAGTGGGTTTAGTGTGTTCACAAGGTTGTATAACCATTACCACTGTCTAATTCCAGAACATTTTTATCACCCATTAATAGTCACTTCCCATTCTCCCCTCTGTCCATTTTCTGGCAGCCACTTATCTATTTTTGTCTCTGTAGATTTGCCTGTCCGGAATATTTCAAATAAATGGAATTATATAATATGGCAGTGGGAGTGGCCTTTGGCAAGAGATATAGTGGAATGGAGGAAAGGCCTTCCCTGATTCTGGCTAATATCTCTTACTTTGTCCTCTTCTCCATTCCCTCCCCCCATTTTTGGACTGGGTCCCCAAGTAGAAAAGAGACTGTGACAGTCTTTGTAGCTGCTCCTGATACACTTGTCTCCTAATACCCTGGCAGGTTAGCAAGACTGGAGCAGAGGGAGCTGTGCTGGATGAGGCAAAGAATATCAACAAGTCGCTGTCTGCCCTGGGGAATGTGATCTCTGCATTAGCAGAGGGCACTGTAAGTGTTTCCTAAGTCCCCTTCACCCCAACTACACCTTCTCCCAGTGTCCCTCTTTAATTATGCCCCAACTTGTAGGTTGCTTGATCCTTAGGCAGCACTACTGTTCTTTTGATTTCCTTTTGAATTTATTTTTCTAAGTCATGGCCTCCATTCTCTCCCAGAAAAGCTACGTTCCATATCGTGATAGCAAAATGACACGGATTCTTCAGGACTCTCTGGGAGGAAACTGCCGTACAACTATGTTCATCTGTTGCTCACCATCCAGTTACAATGATGCAGAGACCAAGTCTACACTGATGTTTGGACAGCGGTCAGTGGCAGAGTCCCTAGAGGGACACTGGGAGCCAGGTCCCTCTCCAGACCCTGAGGCTCTCTCCCTCAGGTGTCACCCAAGCCTAACACAGGTTTCATCGCTTTCTTATTCTCTTCATCCAGGGCAAAGACCATTAAGAACACTGCCTCAGTAAATCTGGAGTTAACTGCCGAGCAGTGGAAGAAGAAATATGAGAAGGAGAAGGAGAAGACCAAGGCCCAGAAGGAGACAATTGCAAAGCTGGAGGCTGAGCTGAGCCGCTGGCGCAATGGTTAGATGGCGATCCTGGTTAGATGGGGATCCCGAGGGAATGAGAGGTAGTGGGAGGGACAGCCCTGCTTGGCTGTGTTTAGGGCCAGGCTGCCTTCAGGAAGGAGGGCTGTGTTTCTGGAAGAGTGCAGTGCAGCAGTCATGAGGGAAGGGAGTGAGGGCATGGACTGTCCCCTGCAGCCCCTGCAGGAAAGAGATGAGGACTTGGAGTGAGGGGGGAAAGACTTGTGCACGTAGCTTTCTCTTCTCCCATTTCCCCCCTTCTTCTGCCCCTCTGCCAGGAGAGAATGTGCCTGAGACAGAGCGTCTGGCTGGGGAGGATGCAGCCCTGGGGGCTGAGCTCTGCGAGGAGACCCCTGTGAATGACAACTCATCCATTGTGGTGCGTATCGCACCTGAGGAGCGGCAGAAATATGAGGAGGAGATCCGCCGCCTCTATAAGCAGCTTGATGACAAGGTGAGGGCAGCCGGGCAGGGCACAGTTAGATAAGAGGGCACGGGATTTAAAATTTTAGCTTATACTGCCTTTTTTTCTGATTTTAAAAGGGATAAATGCTCATTTTTGAAATGTGGAAAATAAATAAAAATATACAGAAGAAAATTAGTACCATCCATTACCCACCATTTAGAAATAATACTGCTAACATTTTGGTTTCCTCTATGGATATATCATACACTTGAGATATATTGTAATTTTACATCTAATTTTTTTTCATTTAGTGTTCTATTATGAGCATTTTTACTCAATAATTCTTCATAAAAAGAATTAGACCCAGGGGTGTTTTATTACTGAGCCACATCCCCATCCCTTTTTTTAAAATTTTGAGACAGGGTCTCAATAAGTTGTTTAGGGCCTTGCTAAGTTACTGAGTCTGGCCTTGAACTTGCAATCCTCCTGCCTCAGCCTCCTGAGCTGCTGGGATTATGGTGTGGGCCACCATGCACAGTTAAAAGTATTTTTAAATTACTGCCTAGGGGTCCACTTATTTAACAATGCACTTATTACAGGGCTTGTAGGGTTTTTTTCCTATTAATAACTCTGAAATGACTATATTTGCCTCTTCTGCACAAGATTTTGTTTGAATGATTTGGTTAGAAAGGAGTACTAAAGTGGGGCTGGGGTTGTGGCTCAGTGGTAGAGTGCTTGCCTGGCATATGTGAGGCACTGGGTTTGATTCTCAGCACTACATAAAAATAAATAAAGGGCCACCAACAACTAATAAAATATTTTTTTTTAAAAAAGAAAGAAAGGAGTGCTAGAATGAGATTTCTTTAAAAGATATGAACATTTGGGGCTGGGGTTATAGTTCAGTGGAAGAGCACTTGCCTAGCATGTGTGAGGCACCGGGTTCAATTCTCAGCATCACTATAAATAAATAAAATAAAGGTCCATCAACAGCTAAAAAAAAAAAGATGTGAACATTTGGAGCTCGGGTTGTGGCTCAGTGGTAGAGTGCTTGCCTAGTGCGTGTGAGGCACTGGGTTTGATTCTTAGCACCACATAGAACTAAAATAAAGATATTGTGTCCATCTACAACTAAAATATATATATTTTAATATTTTTTAGTTGTCAATGGACCTTTATTTTATTTATTTATATGTGGGGCTGAGAATCAAACCCAGTGCCTCACATATGCAAGGTAAGTGCTCTACCACTGAGCCACAACCCCAGCCCCCTAAAAAATATTTTTTTAAAATGTGAACATTTAAAGATTTTTGCTGTGTATTATCAAGGTTATATCAACTTCCTTGAAGAAAGGAATTTAGAGAGTGCTGGGGTCAGGGAAAGAAGTCAAGGAAAAGACCTCTTTTTAGCACATGAGCTTTCTAAATCAAAGCCTAAACTACCTAGAATTTTACTGGGATCCTACCTCTCTCACAAAGTCCCAGAACTCTAAACTGGAAAGAGTGGCTTCCCTTACTGTCTTCCCCTTGCTTCCAACAGGACGATGAGATCAACCAGCAGAGCCAACTCATCGAGAAACTCAAGCAGCAAATGCTGGACCAGGAGGAGGTATTGGAAGGGGGCAAGACACTAAAGGGAAGGGGTTTATGTTCATCCTTGAAAAGTGTGAAAAAGGCCTCTTTAAAATCAGATGGAAGAAGGGCCATTCTTCTCAGGGGCTAGTCACCCCAAACTATAGCAGTCTGAGAACTTCATTGGGCTGTTACTAAAACACTGCTGTTGGAGTCTAGGCCCGTCTTCTTTATTATTATTATTATTTTAGTTGTAGATGGACACAATATCTTTGTTTTGTTTATTATATTTTTGTATGTGGTGCTGAGAATCGAACCCAGTGCCTCGTGCATGTGAGGCAAGCGCTCAGCCACTGAGCCACAGCCACAGCCCCCAAGTCCTTCTTTATTTTGTTTTGTTTCCCAATTTCTGTGAAACATAATGCCTACTTCCTTTTGACTTTTGCTTTGTGGGGGGTCTTGGCTCCCCCAGGCCCAGGGCCCATGGAAGTGATCATTGACTACATGCTCCTTTACATGCCCCTCCTCTTCTTTGAAGCTGCTGGTGTCCACTCGAGGAGACAATGAGAAGGTCCAGCGGGAGCTGAGCCACCTGCAGTCAGAGAATGATGCTGCGAAGGATGAGGTGAAAGAAGTGCTGCAGGCCCTGGAGGAGCTGGCTGTAAACTATGACCAGAAGTCCCAGGAGGTAGAGGAAAAGAGCCAGCAGAATCAGCTGCTAGTGGACGAGCTGTCCCAGAAGGTGGTGAGTGGCCTATCAGTGGTCCAAGGGCTCCCTGACCTCAGAACACCCTCCATGTCCAAGGGGACCTCTGATTCTTTTTGGGCTATGTGGTGTTTGCATCTCTCTAGTGCTGTTCAGTGTATTATAACCCCCCCTCACCATGCACTGTGCTTTGCCATGCTGAAATGAGAGCCTCTGTCTGGACTGGGGAGGGAAGAAGGAAGATGGCAATGGGAATGACCTGAGGGGCTGTCTCCAGGCCACCATGTTGTCCCTGGAGTCTGAATTGCAGCGACTCCAGGAGGTCAGTGGACACCAGCGAAAACGAATTGCTGAAGTGCTGAATGGGCTGATGAAGGACCTGAGTGAGTTCAGTGTCATCGTGGGCAACGGGGAGATTAAGCTGGTGAGTGGGGAGAGACAGCAGTCTAGTTCAGGTCATTTTTGCACTGGGCACTGGTGGGACAATCCAGACCCTCTGAGACACTGAAAAAGGTGGCCCAAATTGCCTAGAAATGTGCGAGCCTTCAGTCTAGACTCAGGAAAACAAACAGAGGTTTGCATAGCCTCCACTGAAAAGATGCATTCTAAAGGGTACAAACAAACAAGTGAGGTGTGCCAGTGGCAGGATCAAGAAGTGGGGCACAGAGTTAGGAATGACATATGCAAATATGTCAGTCAGTGAGAATGACTGACCTGCGTAATCAAGTAGATCAGTTGGTCTATAAAAAAATAATCAAGCTGGGTATGGTGGTAAGTGTCAGTAGTCCCAGCTACTTGGGAGGCTGAGGAAGGAGGATCATTTGAGTCCAGGAATTTAAGACTAGCCTGGACAACATGATGATATCTTGCCTCAAAATAAAATAAATAAATGGAAAGGAAGAAACAGAAAATCATATTGCTTTTTAAGGTAGAAGAGGGGGATTATCTTTAAATGTAGATAGAGGGCCTTAGTGTGAAATACCAGGATAGCTGGTAAAGGTCCTTGGGAAATACTTGTCCTACTTGAATCCCTGGGCATGTGGATTTGTGCAGAAGGTGGAAGGGAGCAGATAAAGGCTTCTCTACTGCAGAGAAGCATCTCTTCCTCCTCTGCCCACCCTCAGCCGGTGGAGATCAGTGGGGCCATCGAGGAAGAGTTCACCGTGGCCAGACTCTACATCAGCAAAATCAAGTCGGAGGTCAAATCTGTAGTCAAGCGGTGTCGGCAGCTAGAGAACCTCCAGGTGGAATGTCATCGCAAGATGGAAGTAACTGGGCGGGAGCTCTCATCCTGCCAGCTCCTCATCTCACAGGTGACTACCTGAGATTGAGAACCTTTTGATGATGTAGGAGAGAGAAGGATATTGTGTGGTTATAGGTAAAACTCCTAACACTCACCTTAATATCAGCATTCTATGGAAGTCAAGAACAGAAGAGCTGGGTGGCAGGGAGTAGGATCCGGGGTCAAGAAACGGAGACTCAGGCGGTATTGCTTTCTGAGCTGAGGCTCTGAAGGAAGAGTCTCCATGGGAATGGCTCCCAGCCCTACATCCTCATGGAAGGTGCAGCAGGAAGGGAGGACTTGGGAGTAGAGCATGAGTTTATGGAAGTTGGTGCTGCCTAGAGTTGTGTGCTTTGCTCCATTTGTTTCCTTTCTCTCCCCATCCTTCTTCTACCAGCATGAGGCTAAGATCCGCTCACTAACGGAATACATGCAGAGTGTGGAGCTGAAGAAGCGACACCTGGAAGAGTCCTATGACTCCTTGAGTGATGAATTGGCCAAGCTCCAGGCTCAGGGTAAAGCCTTCTTAGACCTGTATCATGGCCATCCTGGAATCTGAGATTCCAAAGGGTCAGGGAGGGAAGGTCGCACACATCAGAAGAAACCACCCAGCAACCACTCACCCAAAGCATCAGCCTGAACGCATATATTATTTAGTCAGGCTTTTGCATATAGGTCATTTTATGAGCATCATATACCCTCCCTTGTTTTCTGTCCCTGCTGTATCAAATTGGACTGTCCTAACTAGAAGAACTTCCCTGTGGGTCCATCCCCTAACCTGCCTGGAATGCTGGTCACAACATAAATTTTTTTCTGAAGGAGGTAGTTTTGATGGAAGCTATCTTCCCCTTTTCCCCTAGAAACTGTTAATGAAGTGGCTTTGAAGGACAAAGAGCCAGACACTCAGGATGCAGATGAAGTGAAGGTGAGTGGGGAGGGTGGGGGGCAACTGGGGCTTGGCAGGGCCAGGGCTATGCTGGCCCTCATGAAACTCATGTCTGGGAGTCTGACTCTGAGCATGGGGTGGGGTTGTTTGCAGAAGGCCTTGGAGCTGCAGATGGAAAGTCACCGGGAGGCCCATCACCGGCAGCTGGCCCGGCTCAGGGATGAGATCAATGAAAAGCAGAAGACTATTGATGAGCTTAAAGAGTAAGGATCCCTGAGGGTGGCTCCAGTCTCCATTGGGCCCACTTACCTTGTTGTGCCTACTCAAATGATCCTTCTGGATCAGGTTTTTTAATTTCTTTCTTTTTTTTCTTAATTTTTTTATAACTTTATGTATTTTTTTTTAATGTGGTACTTAGGATCAAATAACATGTCTCACTCATGCTAGGCAAGTGCTCTACCACTGAGCTACAGTCCCAGCCCCAGGTTCTTTAAATTCCATGTGTCATTCCCTCAACAATCATATAACTTCACAGCCCAAATTCAGAAGATAGAAGCATTAAAGACTAATCCCTATCTTTTTTGGCCTTATTAGATAGCTCAGGGTTCTTTACTGTCATGGAAGTGTGACCTGTGTCTGCCCCTGATATCTGAAGGTAGATGCATTAGTTCTAACTGGACTCCCTCATGCAAGAAGAAAGCACAAGTTTGAGGGGCTGGTCTGTCCTTCCTGTTCATTAACATCTCTTTTTCTCTCCAATGTCCCTGACCCTCTGTAGCCTGAATCAGAAGCTCCAGTTAGAGCTGGAGAAACTTCAGGCTGACTATGAGAAGCTGAAGAATGAAGAACATGAGAAGAGCACCAAGCTTCAGGAGCTGACGTGAGTGAGGAGTTTGCTGGCAGGCCAGCGGCCATGTAGGCTCTTAACTGCTCAGATGCATTTGCAGAGGCAGGACACACACATAGATGTGATGCAGTGACTCACAAGAAGCAAATATAATGGGGTGGGGAAGGTTTAGAAAAATGGAGACCACCAAAAATGACAACTGCTGTGGATAACCTGACATGGATGGAAAGTGGCTTGAAGTGTTGTGTTAAGTGTGAAAATCAGGTTACAAAGCAGTTTGAATGATCTAATCTCATAAAAATTTATATGGATATATATGCCTAGAAAAAATAGTATATAAGCAGGGAGCCAAGCTACTTGGGAGGCTAAGGCAGGAGGATGGCAACTTTAAGGCCAGCCTGGGCAACTTAGTGGGAACTTATCCTAAAATAAAAAGGGTTAGAGGTGCAGCTCAGTGATAGAGGGCCCCTGGGACCCTCTATCTAATACATATCTAGTACGAAAAAAAATTTTTTATAGTGATTTTAGTTTTTAGTTAGAAATAGACACATTTATTTACTTTTATGTGGTACTGAGGATGGAACCCAGAGCCTCACACATGCTAGGCAAGCACTCTACCACTGAGCTACAACCGCAGCCCCACAAAATAATTTTATTTAATATTGATATTTGATATTTTTATTTAATAATTATTCAAAATAATTTTTTATTTAAAATAGTATGCAAAGATGGATACCAGGCTTCATGATGGTTTCCTCTGTAAGTGGTAGAATCATGGCTTTTTATAAAAACTCCTCTTAACTCTCTTCTAAAATTCTTTTCTGATTTTTGCACAGTAAACATGAGCAACTTATATAATAAATAATAGTAAAATAGAGATAAAAGGAATGGGGAGTAGGAAGGTGAAAGGAGGAGAGTCCTGAAGGATTTTTCTGTTTTCTAACTTCTCCTTTTCTTTTGCTGCAGATTTCTGTACGAGCGACATGAGCAGTCCAAGCAGGACCTCAAAGGTCTGGAGGAGACAGTTGTGAGTGGTTTCCTTCTGTACCAAGTTAACAGGGTATGGAGGGCTGCATCTCCTACATCAATTTCTTCCTTACCACATTGCTCTTTCTCCTTTGTAGTTAGTTTGTGGCATAATCAGGACACATTTTTTCCTAAGGGCTGAGTGACACTTGACTGTATAGACTGAAGTTTCCAATAATTTTGGAGGGTGTAGGCAGACCTGGTATCTGGCTATCCCCAATTTTCCATCATTTTTTCCAGGCCCGGGAACTCCAGACCCTCCACAACCTTCGCAAGCTGTTCGTTCAAGACGTCACGACTCGAGTCAAGAAAGTGAGTGAGATCCTCCACATCTTACCAGCCCCATATATTCCTCCCCTCCTCAGGCGTCTGTGGCCCTGCTGTTCCCTATGGAACTTGCTTGGCCTGACCTAGTTGGGACCTGGTTAGCCTCATGAGAGCCACATCTTTCTCTCCATCTCTAAGCAGAGTGCAGAAATGGAGCCCGAGGACAGTGGGGGGATTCATTCCCAAAAACAGAAAATTTCCTTTCTTGAGAACAACCTGGAACAACTTACAAAGGTTCACAAACAGGTAAGAATGCAAAGAAGAGGTGAAGAGAACTTTTGAGGCCAGGTCCCTTATGATACCCAAATCCTTGGTGGTCCCTTGGATTTAGGAAAATCTAGTTGCACATTTTCCTTACTTTTCTCTACTAACCCCATCTTTATATCATATTTGGTCCCACTTTTACTTTATTTCTATTTTTCACTTCTCAAAGTTTCTGACCCACTTCTGCTCAGAGAAGAATTCCCCAGGCCTACCTTGGAGGGAGAGGTTGAACTGGACAAAGATTGAAGAGGCATAGGGCCTTAACTGTACAAGAGGGATAGCAGAAGACTGGGGGTGTAGCTCAGTGGTAGACTTAAGAAGGAAAAGAAAAGAGGAATATTAGTATGTCAGATCTTAGCTAGAGAGGGAATGCAGGGAGACAAGAAAAATAAGGGAATTGGGCTTTCTTCCATGAAGGAAGCTACATCTACATAGACCCGAGGCAGGCATATAGGACATTAAATGATGTGTTCAAGATGGCTCAACCAGCCCCTGGTTGGAGCCAGTCAGAACTCCTGTGTATTAAGTTGCTGCCTCTCTGTCCCCCTCCTTCTTGCTGCGGTTCCTTAGGTGGAAGACTGGGTTTCAAAGGTATGGGCTGGGGAGGTGAAAGGGCAGTCCAGAGGAGTCAGGACAGGAAATGTTTGGTGTGTGCACAGCAGGAGCACCTGCACTAGTAACAAGGAGCTGAGCCTGGAGACCCTCCAAGGTCTCCTGGGCCTTCTTCAAATTGATTTGTAAAAGAAACTCTAACCCTGTAGCTGGCCTATAGCTCAGTGGTAGAGCACTTGCCTAGCATATGCAAAGCCCTTGGAAATCCAATACAGACTTCTTCTCTTCCTTTTAAATCTACCTTAAGGCTGGCACAGTGGCACCTGTAATCCCAGCTATTGGGGAAGCTGTCAGGAGGATTGCAAATTCAAAGCCAGCCTGGGCAATTTAGGGAGACCCTGTCTGAAAATTAAGAAATTAAAAGGGCTGGAGATAATAGTTCAGTAGTAAAGCTTCCCTGGATTCAATCCCTAGTACCCCACCCCAAATCCTCCTTAAAATTCTAGCTAACTCATATTCTCACTAGCCTAGAACTTAGCCTTCTTTCTTTCCAGTATGATGCCCAGTTTACATAGTAAATAGTATATCTTTTTTTGTAAAGAATTTCCAAACCTGCAGCTCAGTGGTAATCTGCTGGGTTTATTGATTTTATTTGGGTCTTCAGAGGACTTTACTACCATCTTTCTTTCCTTACCTTATTATAAAACAATGTAACAACATTATTGAAAAGTTGAAGGATAGCCAGGAAACATTTTTAATCAGTTCTGTCATTCTAATTTCATTCCTGTGTGTTCACTTTACCTCTCTGTCCAAATGTATATTAAATTTCTTAATACCCTTCCCCAAAACAAACAAGAAAAAACTAGAGACTATTTCCTTTTCCCTCATTGACACTTCTGCCTCTTTTCTAAGTCCTAAAGATCAAACACTGCTCCCCTGAAGAACAGAGAACTTACCACAGTATCCTACCTCAATAGACAAGAGTCTACTGAGAAAAAAAAGATGTAAAAAACTTCTCAGAATCTTAATCGCCAGGACCACAGCCATAGTGCCAATTAAGCTAAATATTATCACAACAAAACATTGATTATAATCCTTAAATTGTCCATATTAAAGCTGCATGGAAGGTTCTAGCTCTTCCCCGGTACTCTCAGTGTTCCCTGCTATGCCGACTTGCCTGATATCCTACAAGGCCCTGCTCCTTTAGCAGTCTGTAGTGCCCCCAGTCACTGTATGGAAGGATTAGGGAGTCTTTTTTGGCTGCAAGGTGGTTGCTATCACAGTGTAGCTTAATTTAAATGGGGGGAGGGACAACCCAGAAAGTCCTTGAACGTGAAGGAAATAAGCACAAATGTTTGTGAGACCTCAAACATTTTCTTTCCTTCCTATGGGTCACCATGTGTATATGAATGTGTGTGGAGACTCCTGAATTCCAGCTTATGCCCCTGCTCTGCACTGCAACTGCCTGCACCCATTCTCCAGACTGTGGCCATGTTCTTGCTGCCTTGCCTTTTGCATGCCCACACATCCATCTCTGGGGAAGGGGGTACCTCATCCCCATGGGAGCCCTGAAGCTGTTGATCTGGCATAAACTATGAGATATGGTGGAGGGGAGTTCTCCAGGTTAGGCAGAGTTCTGGGCCATAGTAGAGATGCCAAGTTTTGCTGCCTAGAAAATGATGTATGAAGGAAAGAACTGGATAGAATAGCACATTACATAAAGGGAATAAGGCTTTTTGACTCTTTATTTTTCTTTATTCTCTTTCCCTACCCCTCACCCCACACACCACTGGGTGACTCAATTTTGGGTCACTCCCCTTTATTTTGGCCTCTTCCCTTTGGCTCACCCCACAGCTGGTACGTGACAATGCAGATCTGCGTTGTGAGCTTCCTAAATTGGAAAAACGACTTAGGGCTACGGCTGAGAGAGTTAAGGCCCTGGAGGGTGCACTGAAGGAGGCCAAGGAGGGCGCCATGAAGGACAAGCGCCGGTACCAGCAGGAGGTAGACCGCATCAAGGAAGCTGTTCGGTACAAGAGCTCTGGAAAGAGGGGCCATTCTGCCCAGATTGGTGAGTAGATGTCATCATGAGTGCTGGGAGTACAACCTTAAGCAAATTCAGAAAATTCCTGTGTGCCAAGCAGCTAGAGTATTGTTTCTAGACCCTAACTTTGACCACCCCCCAAAAAGAAATAACTGATGAATTATGTTACAAGCAACTTGGTTTAGCCCCAGCAAAATGACTTCAGGAACCAGGGTAACAGCAACCTCATGGTCATTTCCTCTCTTCACAGCCAAACCTGTGCGGCCTGGCCACTATCCAGCATCCTCTCCCACCAACCCCTATGGCACCCGGAGCCCTGAGTGCATCAGTTATACCAACAGCCTCTTCCAGAACTATCAGAATTTGTACCTGCAGGCCACACCTAGTTCCACCTCAGATGTGTAGTGAGTGACCATGGATGTGGGCTGGAGTCTCAAACTAAAGCTCTCTTAACCCTGGAAAGCATGGGATTGGGCCAATTATTAGTTGAAAAATATTTTCCTAAGTATCTTTATTTCTAAACATTTCTCAATCTAATCATAGGTATTAGAAGGTGGGACTGTGCCCTCTCTGTCTGCTCTGTTTATTGTCCTCTGTTCTCAGGAGGTGGGAGGGTTGTGTAGCTCTGTGGCTGAGGGTAAATGTGGATTAGTGATCCACAAATAGTGGAGGGTATGACTTGGGAGGCTGAGGCAGAAAGATCCCAAATTTGAGGCCAGCCTCAGCAACTTAGCAAGACCCTTAGCAACTTAGTAAGATCCTGTCTAAAAATTAAAAATGAAAAGGTCTGGGGATGTAACTCAGTGGTAAAGCATCTCTGGGTTTAATGCTCAGTTAAAAAAAAAAAAAAAAAGAATAGTAGAGGGTAGTTGCCAACTCAATGGGTGCATCTCTCTCTTATACCCAGCTTTGCTAACTCCTGTACCAGCAGTGGAGCCACATCTTCTGGTGGCCCCTTGGCTTCCTATCAGAAGGCCAACATGGACAATGGTAAGTGATCTTTGGAATCTCCAGTGAAATTTTGAAGGTATGAGAAAAGTAAGTTACCCCATTTTACAATGAACACTAACTAAACCTTTCTCATGTGTTGGGTGTTAAATAAAAAGATACATATGACTGGAGATGTAGCTCAGTGGTAAGAGCGCTTGCCTGCTTAGCATGCATGAGGTTTTGGGTTCAATCCCTAGCATTACCAAAAATATATATATGTGTACACAAACGCACCTGTGTGTGTACGCGCGCGCACGCACACACACACACACACACACACACACACACACCTCTTCAGATTTCAGTTCTTTCTTAGAAGTGGATTCCTCCTATTATTAACTGTGCCTATCTCCACCTTTCCCACCTGTCCCCTTCTCTTCTCAAACAAAAATAATGGTGCAGTTTGGGGTGGCTGAGGATAGAATGCCCTAATTTACCTTTTCCTCTAAGGGGTTAGGATGGGAGAGAGTCTGGGGAGACCATTCCTAATACCCAGTATCCTTTCTTCTTCTTTTAACCCTGTGTTCTCAATGCTGATCTGTTCAGGAAATGCCACAGATATCAACGACAATAGGTATGCCAGGCCCCACTACCCTTGGGTTCTCTGAATGGCACCAGAAGAAATTACTAAACTTCCCTCTGCCCTACTTAGAGCTTCTCTGGAGCCTTGAGGGGAGGGAGGAGGAAGTGAGGATCATTCTTGTCCTGGATGTTGGGGAGATCCCAGGCATTCCTCTTACCTCAGTGCAGAACACTGCCCTCTTCTAGTCCCTTCTATGGCCTCTCCACACGCTAGTTATGGGGCTGTGGACATCTGATGATGTGGTCTCTCCCACCAATGGGAACTTTGTGACCTTGGGCAAGTCATTTACATATCTCTGGCCCTGCTTTTCCCTGTGTTCCTGTAAAGTCTGAGTAGACCTGCCCTTGCCAATATCTCACAGGAATGCTATCAGAGAACTGGCCACAACAGGAATACTTTCATTTATATGGAGCTGACTGTGTTGTCTCTATTCCCCCAGGAGTGACCTGCCCTGCGGCTATGAGGCTGAGGACCAGGCGAAGCTCTTCCCTCTCCACCAAGAGACGGCAGCCAGCTAACCTCCCACACCAATGGCTATATAACCTGCACTTTCAGGTAGCACTGGCCTCAGATGGCTTCCTTTCTTGTCCACAGACTCTAGTTCTCCTTTTATTTCTTTAACCATCTCAAAACATTTGCTATATAGTGACCTCTCAACTCCTGCTTTCCCCTGCTGGGGCTACATCAGCCCAGCTGCTTTGTGTGGTATGAACACTGACCTCGCTGGTACTGAATGCTTTTTCCTTTGGCTATAACAGCATCCACAGTACTGTTTTATGCCACTAGGGGTCATTGCTGCATGTCAGAAGATGAGATGAGCAAGGACTGCTGTCCATGTAGAGCCCCCACTGGTCACAGATCTTAGATAATAGGCAATCTTCGGAGATCATCTCAATCCTCCCTCTACCTCCACTCTAAAGTAATCTTGGATGGAAAGAGATTTTCTAAACTAAGACATCTTCAGTAAAGGCAATGTTTGATTTACTCCCACACCCATGACATCTCCTCATATCTACACATACTACCAAAAATCTTTAAAAATGTCCCATAAATCTGACCCTGTCTCTAGCATAGGCACCTTCCTGGTTTTTGTGTATCACCAGGCTTCTTATCCAGTTGCTTTATGGCCCAGAACTGGGCACTAGGATACAGTTTTGTCATCCATTTGGATCCTTACAGAACTAGAAATGAGAGAACATGGCCAGTTTCTTCCTGGGCTGTGTCAAAGCTGAATCCTCTCTAGGGGTTTTCCAGGATAGCATGCTAGGCACACATAGACATGAAAAGTGGAGACGTAGGAACAGGGAAGGAGGACTTAGAGAGGGTCCAGGGTGGTGAAGCAGGGGCTGGAGAATGCTTGGATAATTGTTATTAAAGGAACTGTACTATAAACCAAAGTATGTACAAATGTCACCTGTTCCTCCACAGCTGCTGGGCTGCAGGCTGGTTTCTCACATACTCTTTCTCTTTCTTCCCCAGTTTCTAAGAGGGACTGAGGCCTCTTCTCTCAGCATGCTGCAAACCTGTGGTCTCTGATACTAACTCCCCTCCCAACCCCTGTTGTTGGACTGTACTGTTTGATGTCTTCTCTCACTTACTATGTATCTCTTTGTACTCTGTATCTATATATTGGAAGCTGCTGCTATGTCTCTCTTCTCTCTGTCCCACTCTCTAAATATCTAATGATGTATTTAGCAATTTCTAAGCATAGTCTATCCTCCTTATTTGGGGCAATAGGGAGGCGGGGGAATGTTTTCTTCTTTCTCATATACTCGTCTCACACTGAGTGGTGTTAGTCACTGAGCAGAGAACATAGAGATGATAAAATGAGAAATGGGAGCTAGAGGGCTGTGATCCTTTTCTCTCACAAACACATGTGTGCATGCACACATACACACACATTCACACACTACTCACACATACACGTACATATAAAGCCTTAAGCAGAAGAATGTCTTAGCATCCTAAGACGACAGAGAAATAGGCTCTTCCTCCCTTCTCTTTTATGGATAGCACAGGGGAGGGTTAAATGGAAGGGCTGCTAAATTCTACATATAATTTTCTTAATATTGCCCTCACCTAAATTAAGAGATTCCAGATGTTTACCTCTGTCCTACAAAGTCTGCCTTTTGCCTCCCTCTATTTTTCCCAAATGGAGACCATGGCTTGCCAAGGAACCTTTCCTATACTTGTCCAAACCCCTTTTGATACTCTCTACCCCTGATGACCATAACTCAAAGTTAAAAATATTCTCAAAAATTGAGGAGGCGAGCTGGGGTTATGGCTCAGTGGTAGAGTGCTTGCCTAGCACGTGCAAGGCCCTGGGTTCGATCCTCAGTACCACGTAAAAATAAATAAAATAAAGGTATTGTGTCCATCTACAACTAAAAAACAAATTTTTTTTAAAAATTGAGGAGGCAGATCCCTTCCCCACAGTCTGTCAAATAGCTGCTCATCTTTCTGTGGTGATAGTTATGGGCAAGTATAGTCAGAATGACTGATTCCTTGGGTTTGAGGATTGAACAGGGTGGAAAATTGCTAAGTGATTTGCATCACAGTGTCCTCAGGTTGAAGCGATGAGCTGGATTCCTTTTTCCCATATTGGGCTACAAGTTCTTCCCATCTCTACCTTTTGGTTTGGGGGCTTCCAGTTCATTGGCAAAATAGCTGTTTCAGATGCCTTCATTTCAAACTGGAGCCTGGCTTTCCTCCAGTATAAGTTGTTCCCCACAAAGAGTTCCTTCTATAATGTCCCTATGTGGTATAAAGTGCACTTTAGGGAAAGGGGCAGGGCAGATTTTCCAGAGGTGGCAGAGCCTGGGGGCTTGACCCAGGGCTCTTCCCCCAGCCATTCTGAGCCCATGTGCCCCCTCTCCCACAGTTAAGAAGATGGTTCTTGAGTTCCAGATTATCCTTTCCTTCCACATGGTGCTAAGGTATTTTTTCAGGTAACTTTTGGGATGAAGGTCACTAGTCAGCCCAAACCAAGAAGTGAAGTCTGGAGTCCAGATAATTTTACCTTTTTATGGATGGAAGATAGGAACCTTCAGCATCAGGGATGCCCATCATCTGGCTTTTTCTAAGTTGGGAAAGAGGTTCAGCATGATTGCCAGCTGGTAAATACAGGATACAGGGGCTTGTGAGTCCTTCAAAGGAAAGAGTCCTTGCTCCCTTTACCTGTTGAGCAATTTTAGCAGTTAAGGACAAAATCAGAGGGGTCTGAAATAAATACAAACTGGTGATTTTCAAACACTTTTCAAAATAAATCTTATGTAGAACTCCAATGTAAAAAAATAACATAGACTAGGGGTATAGCTCAGTGGTAGAGCTTGCCTAGCATGTGCAAAGCTCTAGGTTCAATTTCCAGCACTACAAATAAATAAATTAATTAATAAATAAAAATAAAGGGGGATGGGAAGGGAAATAATGCAGACCTGGGTAGTTTGCATTTTTTTTTTCTCTTTCTTTTTCTTTTTGGTGGAAAATGCTTCATTAGTTGAAGAGCCCTGGAAGAGCCCTAAGAGATCCCAAGGGTTCTATAGAGTGGTTTGAAAACCACTGCTCTGAAGAAGGGGGTACAATCTGGATTCCCTACACCAAACCTATAACTCATAGAAAAGAGGGATGGGGTAAATGGGGTAAGGTAGATGAGCCATGCTGTCCCAGACCCAGTCAGAGAGGAAGGAAGTTACCAGAACACCCGTGGACTTAGTATTTGCCAGCAGGAAACCTTAGAATCGAGGGGATTTTATGTAATTTTGCTACCAAATGATTCTTTAAAAGAACACACTTTAAAAAGATGTGAAGGTGTAGGGCAGATAAAAAGAGAGGTGACACAGGGGAGCAGCCTTCTCTTTAGCAAGATGTAAGGGAAATATAATTCACTTACACAGATAAGAACACATGCACAACTTTCACCAGAAGCTTCACACTGTATCCTCCTCCGCCTCTTCCTGTTCCCTACATTCACCACATCCCTTACAGACAGCCAGGCTCATCACAAGGGGTACCTGGCTTGCCCACTCACATCTGCCAAAATGTTGCATGCCAGTGTGGAAAACAAACCAAATTGCACAAACCCCAGTGTGTATTTACTCAGTGTACATAGATACCTTTAAAATAAAATAAATTCAATGATGACTCCATGTGTTGTTGCAAATCTTCTTTATCACTCTTCTCTATCACTGTTGCATATAATGGCATTTAACAGCATGGTATATTTCCTTCCAGATGTTTTTCTACATATTCACATCAATTGACAAATCCTAGAAATATTTTCATGTCAGCGTATACTGACTTACCTCATTAAAACATTTATAAACCAGGCGCAGTGGTACACGCCTGTAATCCCAGCAGCTTGGGAGGCTGAGACAGGAGGATTTCAAGTTCAAAGCCTGCCTCAGCAAAAGCAAGGTGCTAAGCCACTCAAGAGACCCTATCTGTGAATAAAATACAAAATAGGGCTGAGGATGTGGCTCAGTGGTTGAGTGCCCCTGAATTCAATCCCAGGTACCCCCCCCAAAAAAAGCCCCACACATATATAATTGCTGGGCATGGTGGCGCATGCCTGTTATCCCAGAGACTCAGGAGGCTGAGGCAGGAAGATCAGGAGTTCAAACTCAGCCTCAGCAACTTATCAAAGCCTTAAGCAACTCAGTAAGACCCTGTCTCTAATAAAATATTTTTAAAAAGGGCTGGAGATGTGGCTCAGTGGTTAAGTGCCCCTGAGTTCAATTCTAAAAGAAAAACCACATAATTTTTCATATATTATCCTATAGTTTGTCAAGTATTCCAGATATCTAGGTTGGTGGATATCTAGGATGGTTATAATTTTTAACAAAAAAATTATCTTAATCTTTTACCCAGACCCCACCATCTTAGTTCCAGAGTCAATTCCTTCCCCCCACCAATGTGTCATTATTCCTCCCCTGCTAACAGCTCAATTCTGTTCCAACATTATCTACCACTATTTTCTCTGCTCATCAATCAAAGCTTCTGAGATGGAGAAAAATATATAATCAAAAAACTGGAGCAAGCTGGGTGGGGTGGTGCACACCTGTAATCCTAGCAACTGGGAGGCCGAGGCAGGAGGACCGCAAGTTCTAGGCCAGCCTCAGCAACTTAGTAAGACCCTGACTCAAAAGTAAAACAAAGGGCCACATACATACCACTGAATGTAGCTCAGTGGTAGAACACTTACTTAGAGTGTATGAAGTTCTGGGTTCAATCCCTAGTACTGGGGGTGGGGATGGGCAACTAAATATGAAGAGCTACAAATACACCTGGACCTTCAGTGCTGCTCTGTATTCCTCCTGTGCTTCCCTGCTCAGTTCCCTTTCCTGTCCTCCAGAGCAACTGGCTTAAACCCTCACATCTCAATATCTCCTGCCTACCACCCCCAGACAACTTTATCTTCTACTTAAAAAAAAATAATGTGATCAAGCATGAAATTCAACCACCACAGACAAAATTATATCGCGATATGTCCTTTCATTCTCCCTTATGACAAGTGATGAATCTCCTTTTTCTGAAGTAAATCTCTTCTAGATACTTAATTCTCCCTTACTGTAGGATGCTAGGGGCTTTTGCATATCTTTGCTCTTGTCTCTTGGCAAGTGCTCTAACACTGAACTATATTCCTAGCCCCTAGTTACTTGATTCTTGAGATTATTTACTTAGAACCTCAGTATAACTAAAAGTGGCCTGATATGGTGGCACACACCTGTAATCCTAGCAGCTCTGAAGGCTGAGGTGGAAGGATCACAAATTCAAGACCAGCTTGGGTAACCCTGTCCCAAAATTAAAAAAAAAAAAAAAATCTGAAACTAGTTCAGTGGTAGAGCACATAGTTCCTGGTACCCACACCCCCACCTCACTCCCTGCAAAAGTGTTGCAGGCTTGAGTCATTTGCATCTTCTTCAATAACATCATTTTTCCTTATAAGGTCTCTCCCCACTATGAGTCCATACTTTGCTGTGTGCTTCTCTATAACAGACTCCCCAAATTTCCAGAAACAGTACCAATTTCCCATCCCCACTTCCTCACCTCTCAGTCATTCCTTAGCCCATCTTGATCTGGCTCTTGTTCTGCCCAAACTACTTTTCCAAAGCTTACCTCTTACCACATAAAACAGGCATTTCTCAGTCTTTTGTCTGCTTCACCTCTCTGTGTTCTCCACTCCTTCCTTTTTTTTTTTTTTTTTTGATATTAGGGATTGAACCCAGGGCATTTTATCATTGAGCTACATCCCCAACCCCCTTCTTATTTTATTTTTTATTATTATTTTGGTACCAGGGATTGAACCCAGGGGCACTGTACCATGGAGCCACATCCCTAGCCCTTTTTATATTTTATAACTCAGAGTCTCCCTGAGTTGCTTAGGGCCTCACTAAATTACTGAGGCTGGCTTTGAAATTGTGATCTTCCTGCCCTCAGCCTCCCAAGTTGCAGGGATTACAGGTGTGTGCCACTGCGCCTGGCTTGTAGTGGCAGTGTGGCAATGGCACACACCTGTAAATGCTTGCTCTATCCCAAAGTTCAGCCCTTGGTTCTTTCTTTGCTGTTTTGGGGAGATGTCATACATGTCCACAGACTTCCACAATTCATAAATCTGTATCCCTAACACAGACCACTTTCCTGAACTCTGGGCCCATATGTCTGTCCAGTTGCTCTCAGGTGCTCATACATATTCCAAACTAAACTTGTCTCCCTTACACTGCTCTTTTTCACTACCATCTCTCCTTGTCTTACCCAGAAGCCTGGGACTCACCCTCAATGTCTCCCTTTTCCCCCAAACCCCATATCCATTATGAATTTTCAAAATCAACATCAAACTATATGGTTAGGGCTGGGGATGTGGCTCAAGGGGTAACTTGCTCACCTGGCATGCGCGGGGCACGGGGTTCGATCCTCAGCACCACATAAAAATAAAGATGTTGTGTCCACCAAAAACTGAAAAATAAATACTAAAAAATTCTCTCTCTCTCTCTTTCTCTCTCCTCTCTCTTTGAAAAAAAAAAAATCTTTAAATTGTCTCCCATTTGCTGGGTGCAGTGGTGCATGCTTGTAATCCCAGGGACACAGGAGGCTCAGATAGGAAGAGGATCCCAAGTTGGAAGCCAGCCTTCACAATTTAGTGAGACTCTATCTCAAAATAAAAATTAAAAAGGGCTCAGTGGCAAAGTGCCCCTGGGTTCGATCCCCAGTACCTGGAAGAAAAAAAATTACATCCCCTTCTCCCAACCCAACAGCCACTGCTTTAGTTCACCATCTGTATATAAACTTTTGCAACACTCCAGTCACCCTCCAGAATGATGCCTGAATGGTCCTTCTAAAAAGCACATTCAACAGATTAAAACTACTTGAAGGATCTTCAGTGCCTACCCTCCCTAACCTTAAGTCTTGCTTCTTCCAACTAGTTATCAAATTCTAGTTCTACCTTATACCTACATCTCTCAGAAACACATTATTTCTTTCTCATCTCCAGGTTTTTTACACCGTTCTTTGAGAGCATTTTAACCCCTAGTTCTGAACTTTATCCAGCTTTCCCATACCCAGCACAGAGTCTCCATTCTCTTCCAAGGCTTCCCTGCCAGTTCCACTGTCCTCCTTCTGTCATTAGCATTTTGTCTTTCAAAACTCTAGTGCAGCACTTATCTTGAATGTTGCCAACTATCTCCCTGGCCAGCTAGTAACATTAGACTCCCAACTCCTTTTGGGCGGGAACTATCATATCTCCCTCTACAATCTAAGGAGAATGAATCCAAAGAACTGTACTGGGAAGGGGGTGCAAATGAATGCACTTTTTATCACATTTTTAAATTTGTAGCTTAGAGTGTCATTTGGGGTAATTTGGCCCCCATTTGTGTTTGCAGCTTGCTGAGTGGTCATGTATATTATCAAGTTATCTAGTGTAAAGCAGTTGGTATGGGCAAGGCTGATGGAGGAAGGGCTGCCTCCCACTTACTTGGGTACAAGTAAGTGACCAATAAATATTTGTTGAATAGATGAATGAATGGGCGAATTTTAAAAAGCTTGAGGCCACTGTAACAATTCTGGATTTCCCATTCTGGCTCCTACCCAATTCCTATTTGGTAAGGAAACGCTTTCGCGTTAGCCTCAGACTGGAGGTTACTCATTAGAAACTGGGCAAAGCTGGACGGCGGTGACTTTTCAGCGAATAAGTTCCCGACCTGGGAGTAAATCAAGCCGGAACAGGACACACTTCAGCCTCCTGGCGGGCCGCATCTGAGACCCTGAGTTCCCGCATGCAGGCCAGGCGTCAGGTGAGCCCACCCACCTCGCGGGCGTTAGGCAAGCAGACACAGGGGGCGGAGCCACTCCGCCCCGCCCCACTCGCGCGCCTGCGGTCCAGCCTCCGGTCACGTGATAGCGGCGCAGGTGAGCACAGCTTCCGGGGTCGGGTGCTGGGATCCCTACCGGCTCCTGCTTGTACTCGGTCGGGTGCGCGGGAGACTATGGCGTCTTCGGTCCCGCCAGCCGCCGCACCAGCGGCAGCAGCGGGCCCAGGCCCGGGTTTCGGCTTCGCCTCCAAAACCAAGAAGAAGCATTTCGTGCAGCAGAAGGTGAAGGTGTTCCGGGCTGCCGACCCGCTGGTGGGCGTGTTCCTGTGGGGCGTAGCCCACTCGGTGAGAACCAGTCCTAGCCCTCAAAACCCTGGCAAAAGTCCCTCCCGCGCCTTGGGGTGTCTCTGTTTTCCTTGCTCCAGCATTCCCAGCCCCGCATTGCCATTTCCACCTCCCCCACCCCCTGCGCCCGGGCTGCCCAGACCCCTGCTCAACAACCCCCAGTTGTACCCCCAGGTCATCTTCGGGTTGCTGATTTAGTCTTCCCGCTCCGCCCTTTACTCCTCCCCTAGAGTTCCACCTTCCCCACCTGAAATCCAGCTTCCTCTTCCCTGGCTTCTTACACCAAGTCCAGTCTCAACCCCAGGCTACGGAAACTGGCCCTGATCAGCTCCTGCAGGAGGGACATTAGGGGAGTGGTTCTTTGGGTTGTTGGTGGTGAGGTCTTGGTGTGTGGAAGGGTGTGGAGGAGGGGTGGAGTAGCTGGGTGAAGGAGATTATTCACTTTCCTTTCCACCTTGCTTTCTAGCTTCAGTCCTTGACTTTGGAGCCTTGGTTGTCTGGGGGAAAGCTCCAGGTTTTTTGGACCTTCTAATCCTGCTTGTCCCTTCCTTTCCCTTCCAGAGGTACAGCATTTCTGAGCCCCACCCTGAGCCTAGAGGTTGTACTCAGTACTTTATGTATGTATGCATTTGGTCTTAATTGCATTCCCACTGCTGACTGGAGTGATGGTATTCTGTGTAAGTGGGACTTATTCTTGTACAAAGAAAAGGCTGAGGAGCTCTGGTCCCAGAGACACCAACTGTTGGTGAACTTTAGAAGGAGGAAACTGCTCTAAAGGGTATGACCAGGGAGTCAGGAGGATGCCAAGAAGGCTAGTATATCTCTCCTGGGAGGCCTATAGCTGGGCTGCTCCCTTTCCCTCAGATCTGGAGTGGGAGGGATGCAGTGATCTTAATGTGGCAGGGAATATTTTAGTAGTCAACTTCCTTGAATTGTTATAGTCAAGGCAGACTTGTGGAGGTGGAAGGGGGTGCAGATGAATGCAGTTTTTAATCACATTTTTGATTTGTAGTTTAGAGTATCATTTGGGGTCATTTGACCCCCTTTTGCATTTGCAGCTTGCGGAGTGGTCATGTGTTATTATCAAGTATCTAGTCTAAGGCACTTGGTATGGGCAAGGCTGATGGAGGAAGGGCTGCCTCTCCATGTGTCCCTTCCAGTTGACTCATCCATCCCTGTGGGAAGCTTAACAGGAAGGCTTTTCCTTTGGTAAGGATTGGGGGGATTACATGTAAGACCTGCCTCAGCTTCTTTAGATATATAAACTTCAGCTCTAGCACCGAAACCTCCAGCCAACATACATCTACTTCAGGTGTCTGGAATGGAGAAATTCCTTGAACATATGCCTTAGTGGTGATTCAGCGTGCTTAGCAGGTGGTGAGGAGGGGGCAGGAAACGCTATATCTAAATTTTAGGCTGGGAATCTCAAGTGACTTTTTTTCCTAGAGGAATATGTTCTGTCCTCCTTTTCTACTGAGAATGGGAGGAGTTACATGCATTTCAGTGTGTGGGATTTAGGTTAAACCACAATTCAACCTTTCTCAAATGATCAAGCAAGGCATTTATTTATTCAGTTTCACAACTTTCCTTTCCCTTCCAGAGGTATGGGATTTCAGAAAACCTACCCACCCTGAGCCTAGAGATTGTACTAACTCAGGAATAAATAAATACACACACACATATCCCCATTGCTGGCTGGAGTGATAGTATTTGGTCTAAATGAGGGTCATTGTGCTAGCTAGGCACTTGAGAAATGTACATGATAAGGACAGGTCCTGCCTTGAAATGCTCACAGTCTTGAGGGATGTACTTACATAAACTGATGTTAAGAGTCATGTGGTACATGCACTACTAAAGGCAAATAAAAGGTGCTGTAAGCAACACCAAGTAGAAAGCACATCTCCTTGGGATTCTTAAATATAGGAGCTCCCTATCTACTCTAGCAGGCTGCAGATCCTGGGAGTAAAGGACAGCATGTGATGCTTGCATCTTTTGGGTGGTGTATTGGCTTAACTTTAAGGAATAGACACCTAATGGACTCATATTCTCTGAGGGCCGGCATTCCCTCTGAGATCAGCTGCTTTACCTTATACTTAGGCAGGTGGGCACCTGCTGCAGAGAACTGGGTCAGAGTGCTCTGGAAGGACTGTCTTGTTTTAAAGGAGATACCTTTTATAGAATATGTACATTTCATTTTCTTGCCACTTTTGATCTCCTCAAGAGTCCCATTAACTGTGTGCTTTAAAAAATGTTGTTTTTTTTTTTTTAATGGAACACATGTAACTTTGTCTTGAGTCTGCAGATTTTTTTTTCTAGAATTTCTCACAGCTTTAAAAATAGTCCTAAGTTGCTTACAGGGTTTGCCTAATATAAAATTCCTGTTGTGAGCATGAAGTTCCATGGGGGAGGGAGTGTGAGGATTGCTTCTTGGGCAGCAGAATGGATTAGATACGTTTTTCTCACTTCAAGATTATGTACAGCCAGTGTTTTTAAAGGAAAAAGGTTTGAGTTGCCCTTTCCTGACTCCCGCCCAGACACAGTATATAAGTGCTCTCCATACCCTTACTTGCTGCCTCGCTATTCATGTTTTGACTTATCAGATCAATGAGCTCAGCCAGGTGCCTCCCCCAGTGATGCTGCTGCCAGATGACTTTAAAGCTAGTTCCAAGATCAAGGTTAATAATCATCTTTTCCACAGGTAAGTGGAGGAATCCTTGCCCTTCTTATGGCAATCTCTTAGAAAAATAATAATTTTTTAAAGATTCAGGGAGTTAAATTGTTTTAGATTTAGAAGTCAACTTACAAGTTGTATGGTCTAGGGGATGGGGATGTGGCTCAGTGATAGAGTACTTGCTTAGCATGTATGAGACCCTGGATTCAATCCCCAGCACCAAACACACACACACACACACACACACACACACACAAATGTATAATCTAATATCCTTCTCAATGCAGAAATTCAGTTTGGTGGGGAAAAAATATTAAAATAATTTCTAATATTGCCTTCATACTTGTATTTACCAGTGTTATTTCTCTTTTAGCCTGGAAGTTGCATAGAGTAAATGTATTCAGATGCATTACCATTAGCTTCAAATAGGGATTCCTTGAAAGAAGTACTTTAGCACCCTTTTATTAGAAGATACTTTTCAAAACAATTCCAACTTTAGAATGTCTTTAACTTGCTTGAGATTGGGGGAATGCTCCTATTTGGATGGACAGTAGATCCTTGATCTACTTATACTACTTACTAGCCTTGTGACTTGGGCAGGTCAGTCAATTAACTTGAGACACAATTTCCCCTTCTCTAAAATGGAACACTGTATCTTTAAAGTACCTTATGGGGTTTTATGAGAATCAAATGAGCAGCTGGGCTCATTGGTGCATGCCTGTAATCCCAGTGGCTTGGGAGGCTGAGGCAGAAGGATCATAAGTTCAAAGCCAGCCTCAGTAACTCAGCAAGGCTCTAAGCAGCTTAGCAAGACCCTGTCTCAAAATAAAATATAAAACTGGCTGGGGATGTGGCTAGTCTTAAGCACCTCTGGGTTCAATCCCCGATATCTCATCTTCCCAAAAAGTGTAAAGGTGCTTTATAAACTTCCAAGCCTTATATAAATGCAAAGTGATATTGACACTTTGTTGTCTTATCTTGAAAACTCATATTAACAGAGAAAATCTGCCCAGTCATTTCAAGTTCAAGGAGTATTGTCCCCAAGTCTTCAGGAACCTTCGTGATCGATTTGGCATTGATGACCAGGATTACTTGGTGAGAACATATTATGGAATGAGGGTAAACCCTAGCAACTGGGAGTCCTTGGGAGAGTTATGTTTGGTAAAAGGAAAGCCTCAGCAAATATGATTCTTTATCTTTTAGTGGTCATAGACATCTTTTAAAAATCTAATGAAAGCTAATGAAGCTAATTTAATGAAGCTGTCTTTGGGGAAAAATATAGGTACATTAAAAATTATATGTTCAATTTAAGGGTTTTATTCACTTTCAGAAGCATTTGGGTGGCCATTATCCTAAGATTTGTATCTCCACGTAAAATGTGAGGAAGAGCCTCTAGCCTATTCTTTTGTTTCCAGGTGTCCCTTACCCGAAGCCCCCCAAGTGAAAGTGAAGGGAGCGATGGCCGTTTTCTTATCTCCTATGATCGGACTCTAGTCATCAAGGAAGTATCCAGTGAAGACATTGCTGACATGCATAGCAACCTTTCCAACTACCACCAGGTCAGGCCTCTCTCCAGCTCCATTTTATCTTCCTCCTCCTCCCTACTCATTCATAACTCAGCTGCCAGAGCACATAGAGACTTCCTATCCCTTTTTCCCCCTACAAAGTATCTCCCCCAGAAGCACTTGATATCATGTTTTTGAAAACTAGGAATTTAAGCTGGACACAGTGGTGCACGCCTGTAATCCCAGTGACTCATGGAGGCTGAGGCAGGAGGATTGCAAGTTCAAGGTCAGCCTCAGCAATTTAGGGAGACCCTATCTCAAAAACAGAAAGGGTTGGGATGTAGCTCAGTGGTAGAATGACCCCCAGGTTCAATCCCCAATAGCAAGTTTAAAAAAAAAAAAGAAAAATAGGAGTTAAAAAAAAAAAAAAGAAAAGGCATACCTATTTGTGTTTAACCTAACAGCAGAAGAATTTTATATGTCCCTTCCCATTTGGTATTTACAATCTAAAACCTGCTTCATCCTAAGAAGATCTTTTCACCCCACCTTCCATCCCTTACTTTATCCCTTATGGCTGGCTTTTTGGGACACTAGGGAACCCTGTGGAGAGACCCAAAGACCAAGTCAGCAGAAGTGGCTAAGGAAGATCTCTGGTAAGATTGTGGGAGTTAAGGCAAAGGAGCCTCCAAATTTTAGGACTT